CTGCATTTTCACCTGGCATTTGTTTATGACGTATTTTTCTTCTTTCAGTGGTCAATCCCCATGTTTTACATTGATTATGGCCCGCTTTAAGTGCTTCTTGACAAGACTTTTCACGTGATTCTATCAATTTCTCTTTCAAAGAATCAAGATCAGCAGCTGATTCTCTAAACTTCATTTTTTGGACCCTGAAGAGGTTTCTGCACTCGATTGATAGATGATAAAAGATTTCTCCAAAAATGCAAAAGTACAATAAAATCAAATGTAAGCATGTGTTGCAGAATATTATGAGCATCACATCTTGTTTCATCTGTGTTGCCATTCTCACTTAATTGCTCTAACAGTCCTAGCAATTCATCCAGTTTTTCATGTACAACTTTTACTGCCTTTTCTCTTGCACTCCACCGTGTTTCTAATTCACGCTTGACAGAGATCTTAAGCTCCTGCTGCAGTTCGTCCCATCGAGTTGTTGAATGAGCAAAGAAATTATAAATGGCTTCAATTATACCAAAAAAAGTAATAACTGTTGTTTCCTGACTTGCAGCATGAAGACATGCTAAGTTCCAACTATGATTGTCACAGTTTATAAACATTGCTTTTGGATTTTTGTTCAGAATTCTTTGTTGAACCCCTGACAGATGACCTGACATGACAGCAGCATTATCATAACATTGTGAACAACAATCAATCAATAATATTCCATCCGCTTCTAATTTTGTGCTTATTGTTTCTCAATATTGGCAGCGTCTTTTTCCTTTATCTGTATAAAGTCAATAAATGACTCTTTGACTTCTACTTTTCTAGTCTTAAAGTCATTGTCAACAAATCACTTGAGCCAATTGCTCACGATGGGCTAAACCAGGTGTGGAATCAAACAGAATACCATAGTATTTGTTTGTACGATTTGCTGACAAACAATAATTTCGCACATGTGAGGCCATGAGATTTATAAACTCATTTTGGATTTCAGGAGAAAGATAAGATGTTGACGTTTGCTTGTTTTTAACACGCTCTAAATACTCTCTCATTACTGGATCGTACTTTGCTAATAACTGCAAAAGTGACAGGAAATCTCCAGGATTTTCGTTTGAGGTTATGTCCTCAGTATGACCACGAAATGCAAGATTCTTAGAAACTAAATATTGTGTACAATTCGGCAACCGTCGCAGTACATCTCTCCATTTATTATTATTTTTTTTTTGCTGAATTTACCTTTGCAACTCTTCATCAATGCCACTTTGAAGACGAATTCGGTGCTCAGTTTCTTTCCAAGCAGCAAATGACTCCCAATGACTGTCACTATTTTCATGGGCATTTAATTTTTCAATGTTTTTTCCACTTAGAGAATCCACCCTGTGTTTTGAAAGCAGACCGACTATCGGATGTCATACATGTAGATGAAAAAAGAAGACAAAAAAAGCAGTATGCTGCTTTATGTAGAGGTTATTACACCAACCAGGAATGATTGACCTCTTGTCCATTCAGAAGGCGTCGTTATAAACAAAATGCAGTCATAGAACGCCCATCTTTGGCATCAAATGGAACTTCTTTATGTTGAAATTCATGTGCTCCAACTTTAACAATCTCTGTGTGATGTGCATGTGTTACAACTGCTGAGCCTGTTGTATCAAACTTCATAAATCCAATATCCCTGTGTGTTAAAATATTTATTAAGTCATCCTATTTTAGCTTAGCAACACTATTCTGTGGATTTGTTTCTGATAAAGTGGAATCCTCTTGTTTATTATTATTGTAGCTTTCAACAGGCCAGAGAACAGTTTCTTCATTGTTTTCTTTTACAAATGAAATAGCATGTTCACAATCTTGCACTTTGACCTCTTTGCCGCCATCGAAAGGAACAGATGCTGGCTTACTGGTGTTATTACTTCCAGCAAGGAAAGCTTTCATCAATTTGCTTGACTCTACCATTGAAGCTGCAAATTGTGCACGTCTTTCTGTTTTTCGACATAATGGGCTAAAAGAATAAATTAACAAATATTGACTACACTATTTAATTGCAGCATGCAACTTATCAGATGAAAGGATGCATTCTATTTTTCTAAGTTCCTAACCACAAATTATATTTAAATTATACTCAGGACCAGTTAGGCACATCTGGACCTGGTTTCACTTTAAATGCCATTATTTAGACCATCCATACTCATGTTAACTAGTGTGGCATAACAGTAAGAAAATCAATGTATATGAGTGTATATGGATAATCTTCTAGTATTAAAAAAAAACTGAAATATAACGGCTATAAGGACAGGCAATTAAAGAAATACGTTACTTTATTTTTTAAAATACATTCATAACATTCATAAGTAATGGGAACAACTGTATTACAACAGTTACATCTACTAGGCGTATGTAAGACTTATAAATAATATAAACACAACTGTATTACAACAGTTACATCTACTAGGCGTATGTAAGACTTATAAATAATATAAATACAACTGTATTACAACAGTTAAATGTACTTGTCGTATTTAACATTCATAAATAATGTAAACACAGTTACATCTACTAGTTGTATGTAAGACTTATAAATAATATAAACACAACTGTATTACAATAGTTATATCTATTACTCGTATATAGCATTCATAATTAAAGTGAACACAACTGTATTACCACAGTTAAATGTACTTGTCGTATTTAACATTCATAAGTAATGTGAATATAATTGTATTCAAACAGTTACATCAAGTAGGGGAGACCGGGGCTAGTTGTTACGATTTTTAGAAAAAGTCCAATGTCTA